CATTGTCAGATTTCAATAATAATGATAAAGTTCGTATCTCAATTCAACATCAAGATTTATCCATACTTCCATCTCGCAGTATGATTTTCGTTTGCGGCAGATTAACTCAGGAAAATGGAAATGTGTCAGTTAAAACTAAGTTAATTAATAATGCTATACGTCATTTGTTCGAGGAGATACAATACGAGATAAATGCTATTGAAATAGATAAAGTAAAAAATGTTGGCTTGACAAGTCTTAGAAAAAACTGGTTATCACTCAATCCGAGTCAAAGTTTCATCGCTGAAAATGCTGGTGGGACTAGTGACAAAGAAGTATCGCTTATAAATGACGAAGGTTATTTCGATGTTACTGTACCTCTCAGTATGCTGCTTGGATTTTTTGAAGATTATTGAAAAATCGTAGGAAATGTCAAACACGAGCTTATTATTACAAAATCGAGAAAAGATTTGAATGCTATCATAAATTGCTTCCGATATTTACTTATGAAAAATTACTTATGAAAAAATTAAAATTACTTTGAATAAAATTGTATGATTAATGCCATATGTAGCAGCAGCTGATAGAGCAAAAATCAAATTACTTAATCAAATTAGTCGTGATAGAGCAATCACTATGAGTTATCGCACTTGGAAGTTATACGAGTATCCAAAATTACCTCGCACATCTAAACATGTTTGGAGTGTGAAGACATCAAATTAATTGGAAAAACATCGTTTCATTGAACACACCGAAAAAATGATATAACTTTGATCATTGTAACATTTGTGATATTTATTAAATTTCATTTATATCATAAATATTTGTTAAATTATTTCTAAACTCTCAATGCCATCCATATAGAAATCTTAATTTAAACATTAATCAAAACCGTTCCGTGAGCCCTACTGTGTTCCTGATATTATCGAGTTGCGATAGGAAAATGTCCATGCTTGCGTTGCCTTCTCCAAAGTATTTCAAGTTTCATTCCGTGATGATACGGCTGACGTCTTGTGTTATCGATCATGGATTCGATGACTGTTGAGTAGACTATGCGCTGGGTGTGACATTTTCCATTTCAGTATTGAACCTTCCAGGTTGATACTGTCCATCCCTTCCTAAAGGGAGCGTTCTCCGCAAAGTCTGGCCAGTCGCCCCTCAGGGCCGTTGAACAGTTGCAACTGGCATGCTTTAACACAGGCATGTATTTTATTGGTATGTGAACGTTACTCCTCTACGTGTATTATTTTTCTGTTTGAAACCGGCGGTTTGACTTGTAGTGGCATTTTGTATGTCCAGGTGTACCTTGTTCTTCAAGGTACACCTCTCTCGTGGTTCAATTTTCCAGTTGGTTCTTGAACTTCCTCCTGTTTGTTTGTAGCTTCACTTGTTGTAGGTACTTATTTATCTCCTCGTCTCTGACTGTCATCACCTAATTTTATACATCATTGTGTGTTTGGTCCATTTTTGCTATATGAATAACTGGTATAGTGATTGCTTATCTTTTTGTATATTTATGTACTGATTAGGTAAAAAAATTAATTTAACGTTATTAGATAATTAAGCTAAGCACATATGAACCCCTACTTCAAACTAATCGAGAAACTCTTTAGCTCATTTTGCACATATCACAATGGTCCTACTTATCACGCGTACTAACTGTTTATTAGAGCGGCTGTATTAGTGTATGCTATATTTTACTTTGTCGATAAACAAGCTTATCTGTACGCAGACACCAATTTTGCAGACAAGAACATCAATACGTCGTCATTTACTAGTTTTATTATTTATTTGACTGTCAGTAATAAGGAACAAGTAAAATTATCATTCTTGCAGTACTTGTACTAAAAGCTATCAAGCAGTATTTTATTACAAATACTTATCTGCTCCCGTAAGTGGTTATTAGTGCACGTAGCTGAATCGTGTCGTCGATGCCAAAAAATCGAAAAACAGTTTATTGCATCGGCATGCGCGTTGTCCACTAATTCATAGCTCTTAGGATTGTTTCTTTCTTCTTTCGCTCGGCATCAAATCTGATGGTACATTGTCATAGCGGTCAGGTCGTCCTGTTCTAAACTAACTTGAGAGTCGAATGAATCCGCTATTTAGTATTAAGATAGAAAATCCCTTCGGAGCCTCCAAATTTTTGTCATGTAATAGCGTATCGTTGTTTGAAGACTTCTGGCTAAGGCAATTCTACGTACGATGTAGACTGTTTGTCGTCAATGTCGAATTGTATTGTCTCGAGACTTTCGGCTAACACAACACTACTTTCGACTTTGACTTTTCTCAGGACAACTGACTAGATCGTGATCTCAGAATTCGTTTTTGGGAGCTGCGGTGGGATAGTATCATTCTAAAACTCTTCGGGATGTTCTATCGAAAAGATAAACTTTTGTATAATTAATTTCTCTTTTTTAACTTTGTTATAGATCTTTGGCTCGAACTCAGTCGAATAATAACATCAAACTAAATGTTCAAAAACAAAGGCAAAAAACTATTTGAATAGCATGCACTCCCCGATAATCACAACTGCTGCAGATAAAACATTTTTGAATATCATTCCACTGCCATTGCCTCAACTTCATTTAATGCCGGGTGTAGTAAATACTCTATAAGAGTTATATGTAGTGTATGTACTAATATGTAGTAATATGTAATGAATACTCAACGTGAAATAACGTATGGTATTTCCGAACTTAAGAGCAATTCATGTACAAAACAATTAGTAAATATAGATATTCTCCGGCGCTCTTCAAATCTAGCTGTGCTGAAATATGTTAAGGCATTTGACGACTTTAAAATGTTGTCTCTGCCGGTTTCGGAATGGCTCTTGGAAAAAATTATAAAACATGCGTAAGAACTTTCAGAGAAAGTTATATATACTTAGGTGTTAGTATAACATACAAGGTTCTTGCAGTTTTCTTTCATGTAGAGCAATTTTGTGATAAATCAAGATCTGGACTTGGTTTTTATAGCGAACAGGCATTTCGATTTTAAAACTACATGGGTAAAAAACAAAGTTGCTATAAATCACCCGGACTATCCTACTAAGCGTATGCATCTAGTTTTCAGTTACAATGTATTTCATATTTGAAGCAATACAATAACTGTAATTTTCTAAATTATTTTTTATGTATTTATTATTATTAACATTTTTTTCATCAAATTTCGTAGTGTTATTTGATTTCTTTTATTTATAATGACATGAAAAACTATTGTTTAGACTGATAAAATATGCTCCATGAATAAATACAACTAGAAATAATTTTTTTGAAATTTTTTTTTTCAACAAAAACTACATTAAGTTTGTAAAAAATAAAAAAAATGAATTCAATTTTTTCAAAAAGCCCTCTATGGATCATTTTAATTTATCTTTCTTTGTTATCTAGGGACTCTATATATATTCATAAACAAGAAGAAAATACGAGGTGTAAGATCATTTTAATAATTTTGGTTCCAACTCGCTCTAATACAAGATGCATTTAAAGGTTCTTCTGTGCATTGGAATTTCAAAAAAGTAATATATTGAAATTGAAGAAAAATCACTTATTTGGATCCCAGATTCCGTTCTTGTTAGTTTACTACTCATTGTTAAAACGAGGTCCTCGAACTCGAACGAGGTTAAATCGAATATTATATTTTACAACGGTAGTAGATTCGATTAATCGATCCGTTCACGATTCGGTACACTCGCGATGCTAGAGCGAACGATTAAGAGAGAGAAAGAGAGAGAGAGTGCGCGAGAGTTTAAAAGTTTTCAGTTAAGCCTCAGCTGTTACTTGTGTAGTACCGCCAATTATTTTGCACAGTGTTTCGTCGTTATTTTTTCTTACAAAATTTTCCTGGATTGTTACGTACGAGTGTTAGCGAGGAAAAATCACAGCAGTAGCATTACAGTAGTAGCAAGCAAAGCAGCAGTAATAAAGCAGCAGCAGTTTGGTAGCGAGCGAGGCAGCGTACCTGATTCTGAGCTGAGGAGCACTTATAATTTGCTTCAACAATTACGGCTGATCACCGTAATTGCACTGCAGGGTAGATGGACCTCCGTTTTATTGCGCGACAAAATACTAGCGTGAGTATTTTGTCTATCGCGATTATTATTTTTTTGTATTCGAGCCGAGCGTTAGATTCGCGGCAAAAATTCGAAATCTCTCTCTCTCTCTTCCCGTATTATTGTTAATCATTATAAAATCCTATTCGCGTGCGTTAGTCTTTCAGCCCATAAAAGATTGTAATTTTCTAGAATTAAACATTATTAATTTTATTCGCCGCATTACATTATTTTGTTTCCTTTTAGTTTAATGGATATATCACTGGTTAAATTTTAAACCAATTTCATCTAGGCGATTAGTCGGATTAAGCATTAGGTCACTCACACCTAAGATAGATCGAGTGTCACAAGTTAGGTGACTTAAGGTGAGTTCAACTCGGTTGGATAAAAGACATTGAAACGAAAGTATCAAACGTAAAGGCGAATACACGTATAACTATACGTGTTTAACGGAGCGGCGGTTAGCTCTGTATCGTGGGAGATTGTTATTAAATAAATTAATAAATTAATTAATTGCTTCAATAAATTCTTATTGTACTAGTTAATTCACCCCGTTAAAATTTTGTATATAATATCGTAAAATTTTTAATACAATCTTTGATGTGCGTATAAATCAATGTTATGAATATCATATTTTAGATTACCTCTACTAAAACAGTACATAGATATCTTTGTATTTGAATGCGCTTAATGAAGTGGGAAGTTTGAATATACAATGGTTGTTTTATTAAGATAAGCTTATTGACTTGCCGTAATATTACATCTTATATGATAGCATTGCATCACCTCATCTCACTTAATTCAGATCAAATATACTTATAAAAAATGTATTTTACATTTTTTTATAAAAAAAGTTATCGTTCCATTACAATAAAAAAACTAACAGTACCTTATATATATTTCGAAAAAACGTATATTTAAGAATTTTCAGAAATTAAGTAATATGTTCATAACATTTATTGGGCAGGGCATGAATGCTACTCCACTGACAATATGTAGAGCCATTACGCAAGTAATAGTTATCTGGACACATGGCTTATTGTGGGCTTTATTTCCTCTCTTTGGTTGGAACAGGTATTGTAAATTATGTTTTTTTCATTATATGCCGATTAATTAATGAAAGCAACATCTAAACCCGATTTTTCTTGTAGATATATCCCTGAAGGTAACATGACATCATGCGGTACTGACTACTTAGGTGATGATTGGCTGGGAAGCTCTTACATACTAGTATATTCATTTTTCGTATATTATCTACCACTATTCAGTATAATTTGTTGTTATTGGAATATCGTTTCCGTAAGAATGCTTTTTAATTATCACTATTGAAACAAATATTTAGAGTTATCATTTTTATAGTTTACTTTTTATATTTGCCTATCAAAAGATGAATTTGCTGAAAATTTAGTCATTGTGATTGGTGAATGTTTCAATGAATCAAATAAAAATATTTTTCTGTGCGCATTCTTAAATGCGCCCAACACTTGGCCTTTTTGTTTTTCATACCAAAAACTGATCAACGGAGCCGAACGCACTGGAAGTTGAGAATCACGGAGAGAGAGAGAAAGAGAAAGAGAGAGAGAGTGAGCGTTTGGCCTATGCAAGTTTTTTTAGGCAGGCGTGCGACACGTGACCGATAAGCGGCACGTCGCGTGCCTCCTAAGAAATAAGTCAGATGAAGAGAAAAGCGAGCACTAGCGGGCGGCCGCGAAAAAAGCCAGCGCTAAAAAAAGTGCGTGCGCGAACAGAAGAGCTTCGACAGTCAGCTTGTAAGAGAAAGAGCAAGTGGAAGAAAGAGAGGCCTAAAGTTGACGCCTTGAGCTGAACATCACCAGCAACTACAAGCCCGACACCACCACCAACAGCCAATTCGACAGATAGTTCGACCTCGCTTTCGGCAACCAGCCCTAGCTTTGTGCGGCAACATCCTGCTGGACGTCAAGAGGTAGGATAGCAGCCTTGCCAGAGCAGCTCTTCCAAGACAACTCTCTCTCTCTCTCTCTCTCTCTCTCTCTCTGCCTCTCTCTCTCTGCCTCTCTCTCTCTCTCTCTCTGCCACTCTCTCTCTCTCTCTCTCTCTCAGCCTCTATCTCTATGCGGTAATACGACGAGAGGTGAGCTATTAACCTTTTAAGGACGGGACTGGTCGATATATCGACCACCAATTTTGTCAGGCACTCCACGTGACATATTCTTTCATTTTATGCACAAATATTGTGCAAAAAAAAGTCAAATTTTAACGTAAAAATCCCCGTCCTTAAAAGGTTAAATTAGTATTCACTTGCCAGGCAATTCCTCAGTTTCTTTGTACGTCACAAAGAAATTTTATAGCGATTATTTAAAATAGGTTAAGAATCTTGTTTTAATTGTTATACAACGTATAGAAATGTTTGTAATTAAGCTAAATTATTTCGTTGTTCGATACATAGACATAGTAAGTATAGACCATCAGTCTCTTTGATATGGCGACGCTCCAGAGTAGAAAGAGAGAGAACGAGCCGAGTGTGCACGTCTGTCTCTTACTAATGGAGTCACGCGGGCTCGCCTCGCTCGAGTGTACATTTGGCGCGCTCAGCCGTGCAGTTCAAAAGCGAATATGGAAAACAAATTTTTTTATGTATGCGTTGATTGTTTAAAAACACGCTTGTCTAATAGTTGAAGACAAAATGTAATGTACTTTTTTCAGTTATATCATCAATTTGTTTCGTGATGAAAACGCGCTGCAATATATGTGAACATGAAAGGTATGCAGTGGAAAGTTGACAGAGGATGCGTTTTACATTTTATAAAATATTTTTACACCAGTTGAATTATGGTAAAATAGTTAATCGATAACTTTAATCCCAAGTACATTAGGCTAAGCCCCCCCTGCCTACAAGTTTATGTAATACTTCCAATACTAATGTAACATATGTAACGGTACCTATGCCGTTTAAGGGGTCGCATCTTTTTGCACTCGCGCATTAGAATCGTGGGTTCAAGCCCCTCTCAGAAATTTTTTTTATTTCTAAGTAAATATGTCAACGTTGCGTTTTTATTTATTTTTATTTTAATCAATGCACGACTAATTAATGGTATAATTTAATTTATTTCAAGTTATTGCACGAATGACCTTATTTTGAACTGCGTGTTTCGTGCTGTTGATCACAACCCATTTTATTCTCTATTGTCAATATTCCTTATTGCTACATGAATTAAGAAAAAAAGATATGTATTTATGACATAATAATTTTATGTCGTTTCCATCGCATCCCTGTAGTACGTATACTATTTTATAGCACTCATATATACATTTATATTATATTCGTTTTATGTCAATCAATCACTCAATATAATTAATCGTAATCCCAAGTACGTCAGGTTAAGTCTTTACGCCAACGAATATGTATATACTTCCAATACAAATCTATCATATGCAGTGGTAGATGTGCAAGTTAAGGCATCGGAACTTTTTGCACACACACACTTGAGTTCTGGGTTTGAATCTCCATTTACGCACATTTTTTTTATAAATAAATATTGGTATCTATTTTTTTTTTTTTTTTTTTTTTATGGTGGTAAAAAAACAGGATAAATCCTCATGGACCATAACGGTTGGAGTGTGACGGCAGTTCACCGAAGCTACCCACCTACACTCTCCCACCCGCCGTGTGACGTGACTCGCTGATCCTCTCAGACCGGGCTGTTTCAAGCGATCTATCAATCGAACGCAAGGAGCCTCCGGGTCGTCGAAGACCAGCTGACCACCCAAATCCCGCTTCTCTTCAACCGGATGGTAAACCAACCGGGGAAGAGTAGTAAAGTCCACCTACACCATTCTCCAGCGGGGAACCGCGTAAGCATTACTTCCCGCTGGAGAACCGCGTCAAGTCCTCTCGTTGTCCACGGGTCCTGTATCGTTTCGTTACGTCCGTTTATTCACATTCATCCATTTGTTCATACCATTTACTCTCGCATTCTTCTCGTCTAACACTCGACTTCCAGGCAACCGTCCGCCTTTTTCCCTCGTAGGATAGTCTCAACGTACGTTGCCGTTACCGTCCAGTAGTCTTTGTCTTGTAGCATCTTTGCCACAATGTTGTTGGGCGTGATGTTTCCAAGTGTCGTCTCCAGTCTTTGCCTTTCGTCGTTCCAGTGTGAGCATTTGAAAAATGTATGCTCTGCGTCATCACATTTGTATCCACAGTATTTACAGTCGGCGCTGTTAACTTTGTTTCTGTCAAACAGATATTTCCTGAAGTACCCGTGGCCGGTAAGAAACTGGGTCAGGTAAAAATTCACTTCCCCAAATTGCCTCTCCGTCCACGGTCTCAGGTCGTCAATGAGTCGTCTAGTCCATGCTCCGTTCGTGCTCATCCTCCATTGTTTGTTCCAGTCCGTCATCGTCCTAGTTCTTTCGTCCTGGGCAGCTTCCGTTCTGGTCATGTCGCTGTTTCGTTCGTACACGCGTTTCCGCTCTCTGGCGAGCATGTTTATCGGGATAACCCCCGCCACCACCAGGACAGCCTCAGCCGAGACTGTCCTGTAGGCGCAGGCTATCCTCAGTGCTCCCTGTCTTTGTACGTTTGTCAGTCGTTTGCAGTATTTCTTGACCCCCAACGCGTCGGCCCACACCTCCGCTCCGTAGAGCATGATCGAGTGGGTTGTTGTCATCAGTAGTCGTCTCTTCCATTGTCTCGGTCCATATGTATTTGCCATAAGACGACTGAGAGCGGAAGTCCTCTCTGCCGCCTTCCTCGCTGTCTGTTGTACGTGCGGCCAGAAGGTCATCTTCGTATCTAGGGTCACCCCCAGATACTCGACCGCCCTACTGGTCCGCAGTGATACCTCTCCGACTGTCATGGGAATCAGGGTATTAATCCTGCTTCCCGTCAGAAGGATGAGTTCTGTCTTGGCCAGGGCAAGGCAAAGTCCGCTTTCAGTCATCCATCTATTGATTCGTAACATCGCGCGGTTCAGAAGCATTTGCGCCAGCTCCGGGGTACGGGCTATTATCACCACAGCCACATCATCGGCGTAGGCAACCAGCTCCACCCCCGGTGGCATCGGTAGTCTTAGTAGTGCGACGTACAGTATGTTCCAGAAGTCGGGTCCAAGGATTGAACCTTGGGCGACTCCTGCTGTGATTCGTCTGGTCACTGTTCTGTCGGTCGTCTCGTATCGAATCCATCTGTCGTGTAGGTACTCCCTCATCACCCGCATCAGGTATTCGGGAACCCTGAAAGTTTGTAGGGCCTCCAGAATATCCCCCCACCGAGCGGAGTTGAAGGCATTCCACATCAAGAGTCGCGAGAAGTACTATTGGCCTCGCTCCGTAGCACACGAGCCTCGTCCGCCGAAAGGCGTCGGTCACTTGTCGAATCGCCCCTATAGTTGAGCAGCCCCCTCTGAATCCGTACTGGTTTCCTGCAAGTCCTCCGTTTGCAGTTACCGCGTTCGTCAGTCTTGGTTTCAATAACGCTTCGTAAAGTTTACCCGCTGTGTCTAGAAGACTCAGGGGCCTATAGGAAGACGGACTATTCGGCTCTCCTTTTCCTTTATGCAGGAGAACCAGTCTAGCAGTCTTCCATCGTCTGGGAAAGATGCCCGCACGTAAGACCGCGTTATACTTATCCAGGAGGAGTCCTGGACGTACGCCCACGATCTGCTGGAGGATCTCTCCCGGTATACCGTCTGGTCCGGGTGCCTTACCAGGCTTGATCGTGGACACAGCCTTAATAAGCTCTGCCCCGACAAACTCTGGCACTGTCGTCTCTTGTTCGTTCGTCATTTCTTCCGTCTCTGGTTGGTTTGGGAAAAGTCCATCTACTATTGCTTTCATGGTGTCTTTGTCTTTTAGTTCAGAAGGGCCAAGGGCCCCCAGTATCTTGGTCACAATCTTGTAGCCAAGTCCCCAGGGGTCCCGCTCCACTTCTTCACACAACTGTCTAGCGCATCGGTTTTTACTGTCCTTTATTTTAGTAGTCAGTCTCTTACGTGCCATCTTGTACGCTGTCGATAGTTCGTCCGCGTCTGGTCTGCTCTTTTTCCGTGCGCGGTTCATCCTCCGGCGGCAGGCAATGCATTCCCCACGGAGGAGGCCAATCTCGTCCGTCCACCAGTACATTGCTCGTTTGTGCGTTCGGCCCTTGCGTCGAGTCATCGTGGCGTTGCACAGTTCCGTTATCAGTTCCATTGTCTTGTCCGTTATCCATTCGGCACGCTCCCGCAGACCAAGCTCTGCCGGGACAGACTCGGCGGGTAACGGTGCCTCCCTTAGCAGTTTGTCAAACAGCTCTCTATCTTGTCGTCGTAAGTTCC